TGTTTACCGTGGCGACCCGATTAAAGTTAATTAAAGTAACAGTTACGAGGCGAAGAACAATTTTTTAAAAAGCAGGATTAGTTAACCGGCAGCAATAGGATGAATGAGGATTCTTTCTACGACGACAGCCCCCCTTCCCTCCTGGTTTAACTATTTTGGCTGCAGTTTGCCTCCGGGCGCGTCGCGGGTCAAGCTTTTCTGAAGTTAAAAATCCGAAGCGCGTCCGAAGCGCGCCGAGCCGGCAGGGGGCGGGGGGTGTTGCGTTCTGTCACGACTCGTGGCGCTCCAGCCGGTGTTGGTGTGCCAGCTCAGCTTTGGTTTTGTTTTTTTTCAGGCTTCGTGCGTGCAGTACCGTTTGGTGGTTCGGGACGCGAGCACCCTCCAGATCCTCCAGCTGTACACTTGCCTGGATCAGATCCAGCATATAGAATGGTCGTCTGATTCTCTGTTCATATTATGCGCCATGTACAGGCGTGGGATTGTCCAGGTGAGGACAAAAACAGGACGGGGCGTGTTCCCTGTTGGGGATTTGTGTGTGGCACGAGGGAGAGCTGCTTAACGGCCAATGCTTTTGCTAAAGTAACCGGCGCTGTTATCAGTAACGCATGCTTTGAGGTTAACCCAGCATGCCAGTGTTTTTAAGACCCTGACAAACATCTTAGCTTGAAAAAACCCCCAAGTTTAGAATAAAAATACTTACCAAAACGAATGAAAGCTGGAGATTATCTTACTGGTTTCTTAGTTCAGTAGGAAATAAATGCATGCAAACTTATTAAATGGACTAAAACTTCTTTTTTTAAGTGTTGGACATCACAGGGGGGGGGGAAAAAAAACCCACACCATCTTACTTTATGACTTGTATTAATACACGGAGCCGTGGGGCTTACTTTTGTAGTGGGATCCAGCGCCAGTCCTTCATGGCTACGGGCGTTCAGAGGTTTCCTGACCTCTCTGGTATGCGATGCAGGAACCTGTTCTCAGCTTGCAGCGTATTCTCGTGAGCAGAGGTTTTGAGGAGCCGTTTGTTTGGAGCACTGCCTGTTTGGTTTCCTCTCTGACCCAGGTCTGGTCCTTGGAGCAGCCAGACTGGCACTGTAAGATAGACGAGGGGTCAGCGGGATTGGTGGCTTCATGCTGGAGTCCGGATGGTCGTCACATTCTCAACACAACGGAGTTCCATGTAAGTGTGAAGTCATGATTACTCTCGACGGTATCAGATGTTACTGTCTGCCTTTTGCCTCTTAAAATAACCTAATGCTCTTAAAGCTGTAGTGGTGATACAGAACGTGGATCTAGTTCACCTATATTCATGTATGTCATCTAGATTAATTGTAGTTTAGATGTTAGTTATTCTGTTAACATTTTATCCTCTTGCTTCTGATGGTATGGTAGAAAATGGAGACTTAGCTTTGAAGTGTTTGAGAACAGTGTAGGGATAACTGGCATTCATGGAAGCAATTTCAGAAATTAAACGTATTTGTAGCTCAGGGAGGGCTTGGGTTTTCTAGCAAGAAACCCACCTCAAACCATAAACATTTAAGAGTGGCTATGGAATTAAAAAATGTGGTCTGAGGTTTATTGACTTATGAGATGAGATTTAAATCCAGATGCTGGAAATACTTTTGTAATTCTTTGATTTTACATATAGGAGTCAGACTGCTCTTGGTAGAACCACTTGCAAAATTAAAATGAAAACACCTGTAAGTGCTTATTGATTGAGAGCCATATTCTGGAATCCAGATCAGTTTGTGGATGCTGGACACTGGGCTTGTTGGAAGGCACGTGGAAGTGGGACTCTCCACCTTTATAGTCTTTGGATTAGAGCTGACGATTCATGTTACTTGGTGCAATGATCAACGGTCAGAAAACAGCAAAGAACTGCATGCAAGACACTTTGCTCTTTGCTGCATTTACTCTTCTCAAAACTGGAGGTGGATTTTAGATGACAGGTTATTGTGTCATAACCCTCGCTAGCACCAAATTCAAATGTTAACTGTGCAAGATTTTTCCTTCTTTCATGCAAATCCCGGTGCCCGTGGACTATAGATGGGGGGGCTTTGTCTTCTGTGTGGGCAGCCTGGGGTTAGTGCAAATGCTGATGCTGTTGGGGGAATCCGTGGAGAAACTTGCATGCATCTCCGGCATAGTTCCTGATGCGCACGTGGTGGATTTCTCTGGCAAGGGTGTTTAGCGCTGGCAAGGATTTTTAGTGCTGACTAGAGTAGAGATTTTCTGGCTATAAAGCAGTCTCTTTCCATTCCCCTACCCCTTTAGACAGTGGGTTATGAGGAGTGATGAACGTAGACCTTAGTTTTCCCAGGAATTAATTGCCCTGATGGTGATTAAAATAATAAAAAAAAAAAGCCCAGAATTTCAGCCTGAAGTCAGAAAAGACATGCCTACTAACCAGGCAGAAGTGTTGCTGTCAGTAACCCAAACTGAAGGCTGGTGCTATGTGCCGCAAGTGAGTCTCTCATGGCACGTGTGTGTGGGGGTGGACTAGCAAGTATTTATTGCCTCCCAACAGAACTTGGTTTGACCTTAGAGGATTTCATTAAGCCTGTGCCAAGTTGGCATCTGTGTTGGGATAAGTTTTCTTTCCAGCTGTAAACAGGTTGCTAAATTAGCTTTTGTCAGACAGCTGCCTGGGTTCTGCTGATGTCTGAGCTGTGTTTACTCTCTTGCTGCTAAATCCATAGTCTGGTGGGACAGACAGGAGTAGTGCTCGAGACAGAAACTGTCAGGGTACTTAATATTGATGTCTTACGTACATTATCAAATCGGGTGATTGCTTGGAGGGCTTGGGGCTTCCCTGTCAACCAGTGCAGCTTGGCTTTGGTAGCCTGACGTTTTCAATTAGTGCCAAGTAATTACTTGTAATTCTTCAGGTCCAGGTGTGAGCTCCACTGTAAGCTCACGAATAACTTTCTCATTCCTAGAATTTTTTTAAAGGATACGGTTGTGCTCATTTATTTCTAGCAATCCATACTTACTAGTGCTTCAAAAATGATTCGTCGTTTAACTTGCATCAAGTTCTTTTTGGGGTCAGTGTTAGAGTGAATAATGCTGCGGGTTGTTTGACGTGACTGGTGTGCAGTTCCTAACTCGAGATGAGTGCAGCAGAATTCTGACACCAATTTCCAAAATCCTTTTTGACTCTGTTCAGTCTTTGGAGATGGGCAGCAACACTCTATATGTGCTTATATTGACATAACTCTGCAAACGGGATAATTTTATTGGAGGTAAGTCTGTAATAACGTGCAGGTTTTTGGGTCCCAGAATTGTTCCACCACGTACAGAAATGTTGAACAGCATGGGTACCTGTCTAAATCTTTACACAGTTGCTGCAATAAGCAGCAGGGTAAATAAGGCAACTAAAAAGTACAGTCATATTGGAGGGGCTGTATAGAGACTCTTTCGTTTCACTTGGTAGGGGATTGGCTTTCACCAAAGTGGATTACCAGCAGATGCAGAGGGGTTTACCGTGCTTAATTACAAAAGTGTACGTCGTACTTAGTTACTTGCCCCAAAACTTTGAAAGCATCTTTGTGCTGTACGTTAGCTTAAGTGTTATGTGTGGAGGGGCCATTCTGTCAGCATCTAGGATAGAGGTCCTGCCAAGATGTAGCAAAGATGTAGGCCTGTTCATTAAACTCTTGCTATGCTGGATTGCAGGATTTCCTTCTGTTGGGGACCGTCAGCGCTACCACCCAGATTGGCAAACTGCAAGCTGAGGTACAGACCTGCTAGGTTTTGCCAGGCAAAAACTATTTTTACAAGGCAGCTGGATATATTCAAAGGTACTTCCAAACTTGGAAGGCTTTTTTTTCCTTCAGTTCTCTTCTTATATCTTATAGATACACATGAGAATTGGTCAGAATAGTTGCAACTTGATTTTTCATCACCTTGTTGCTTATATTGAGCTAGAGTACAGTTCTGTTAGGAAAAGCAGGTTTGGGGTCGGGGGGGGAGAAAGGAGGAGGTACTTTTTTTCTCATTTAACTAATCAGGAGCAAATCTAAATTAGTTGGAAAAACACAGTCTGAAAGCCTGCTATGCAAAGTCTATCTGGAATCTGGAAAAGTTGGAATACCATGTTGATTATATTGATTCATGCGGTGCGCTGGAAACCATAGCTGTTTACTTATTACTTATTTTGT